AGGAATTTCATGAAAACCCTAATAAGAAAGGAGTGTTTGCAAAACTTAAACCTTACAGGGTATATTCAGAGCAAGAGAGAAAAGAGAAAAGCAGACGGCCACCGACCTGTGTGCAGGGATGACGTAAAGTAGGTCGGAGGCCTTGCCAGAGGGGGAGACACTGCTGAGGTTCATAAGGCGTAGATAGTTATGGAGAGCTATGATCTCCAACGTCATGAAAGGGGACGACACATAGGTAGGTATATAACGGACATTTTAGTAAGACACCTAGTGAGGTTTAAATTAATTACATAGCATTATGTCCTGTGAGATATGTGCTATGTAATAACACCGTTAATATTAGAAGCTTCTCATCATACAACCGAAAGTCAAACTCAAGTTGGGCCTTGTGGGAATTGTGCCTTTTGAATATAAATTGGACATTAGCGCGGACCGACAATTTTCACTGGCATGAAATGGAGCGACTATATCGAATCATTTGCTTAGTCTCCTGCAAAGAAAGTTGGTTCACTGAGACGCGTCAAAAAATTCTTTCTCCTCAGAAGCCATCTTGCCCGTTTATAAATCTACCATTCGTCCGTGCATTGAATACTGTTGTTATATCTGGTCTGGGGCTCCTGGTGAGCATCTCGGGGTCCTTGGCAAAATCGAAATGAAGGATCTATAATGTAATCGATACTGACCAGGAATCTCGACTTCACGCATTTTCTCACCGGCGCGACGTGGCTTCCCTCTGTCTTTTCTACAGATATTTTCATGGCAACTGCTCTGAGGAGCATTTTGCACTGGTGCACCAACTGCAGGAAGTTAAGCTTGTTACTAGATTAGCAACAAGGTCCGACCGTATTGCTGTTGAAATAGCTAAATGCACCGTCAATTCTATTCCAACATTTTCTTTTCACGCACTTCCCACCTGTGGAACTCTCTTCCTTTTTTTTTTTTTTTTTTGGTGGGTGGGGGTGTTTTCCCTTCTATGATCTTCACAATCTTCAAGAATTTAAACGCAACGTCAATCGGCATCTTCTATCTTCTAGAACCCTGTCCCTTTTTTGTCCTTTCCTCAATCCTCCATATTCTCAGTCTTCTCTTTTACTTTCACTTTCACTTTCTGCAACCCCCACCCACTGCGTACTAGTGGCATTACGGCCTTGTTTGAAAAAGACGAATTTTATTAAGAGCTGCAAAAGAAGAAGAAGAAGAAGAAGAAGAAGAAAGTTTGAGTAAATGCATAGCAGAACATAGTTTAGGAGAGATAACAAAAAGCAAAATTCATAAAAGCTACAAAGGACAGGGAACTGTGGAGGGCCATGATTACCAACATTCTTCTTCTTCTTCTTCTTCTTTTTGTCTTGTACTTTCAGGACGTTAAATTTTTTTTTCCTGTTGGGTAACAGATGATAGTCAGTTGGTGCCAAATCAGGAGAATAGGGAGGGTGATCAACCCGTACAAAACCACAGTCGTGCACAGAATCTACTGAAACCAAGAACCTGTGTGCAGAATCATTGTCCTGATGAAACAAGATACATTTCGTCGGATTTCTTTGTTCTTGAAAGCATTTCCTAACTGCCACAGCAAGTCGTCATAGTACTCTCCAGTGATAGTGTGGCCCTTTTGAAGAGAGTCAATAAAGACAATGCCTTTTGAATAAAAAAAAAAACTGAAGCCATATCTTTCTCTACAGATGAAAAGACCTTGATGAGGAAGGAAGTTTCTACTGCATGGATTGTCTCTGGCTCAAAGGGATGAACTGAACACTCATCCTGGGTTAAGTTTCTTAACCTAGGATGAGCAGAAACCTTCGTCGTGCCAAGTTGATTGTGTAGAATATTCTCAGCTCTCTCATGGGACCGGGCATAACAGCAAAATTGCCCAAATCATGTAACAGAATGGGATACTTGTTCATCTTAGAAAATGTTTAATATCTAAAGAGCCACTAGGTTTCCGTGTTTTCAGATTAGACGTTTAGCCATCTTGACATCATTTGTCGTAAGAATCACTGAATAACATTTTGAGTTATTCAGCTAGAAAGAAAACATGTTAAAATCGTTTTTCTCAGCTCCACTATGTCTTCCCAACTGAGCAATGGTAAGAGGAAAAAGATCATTCGGGCCTTCAGTAATGCTACCAACATTATTCGTACTCTGGCTTCCATCTTCAAGTCCATTCAAGAACCATCAATAGAATGGTGAATAAGTTTTCAAAAGAGGAACAGCAGAGAGGAAAACTTGATCGGGAGATCGCAACTGAAAGAAGGAACAACATTTCAATTTAGAGCTAAATACGTTCTTATTGTTTAAAGTAGAGTCCAATAGTGTTAAAAAAAAATTCGAGTAATCAATAAGATATCTTTAATCATTTCTAAGATACAACGGTTCAAAGCTTAATGTAACAATTGGACAATTTTGCTGGTACACGATTTGGACAATTTTGCTGTTACACCCAGGGATATGCTAATATCACTGGCTATTGGATTTATAGTCAGTCGCTGTTCATCCATTATCATGTGCTTAAAACTATCAATGTCTTCGTCAGTAGGGACAATTCCGGTACCTCCAGACTTCAGGCCATCTTCAAGACTGTTCTCTTCCTAATATCGCCAAATCTAGAAAAAAAATTACCGTTCCCAAATTACAGTGTTTCAAAATAAAATTCTCCAGGTTTTCAACTTTGAGAAGGCTGCCTTAAACATATCATACCATTTGGAACTGAATAATCCGTAACAAATTAAAAAAACTTACGGCCGGATCGGAGAAAATATTGTCATATTGGATTCCAAGTTTTCTTTAGTGCCATTGTTTTCAGATTTAAATAATTTTTGTTTATACTGACAAATTAATTAAAGGGACTGATTTTCGCAACTTTCAATATCATGTCCAAAACAAAAAAAACATGATTCGCAAATTACCCTGTTTCAAAATAAAAATTCTAATCGTTTTCAACTTTACGATGAGATCAATTTCTAGCGTTTTTCCATTAAACAAGGTTATGGGGTGTGTCATCTTTAAAAAAATCCGGCCTGGATCAATGAAAACTTTCATAAAAAAAGAACATATTTAAAATTTCGATCATCTGTGAATAGTTCTAGAAAGAAAGCCGTACATCAAAAATATTACCATTTTGAAATCAGGCCGAGTTTTTTCAAATTAAAATATGTGTCAGGATCCAAAAAACTTGGAAATAAATTTGGGAATAATTGAAATTTATTGCGAAACACTGCGAATATTAGTCATGAAATAAAAATAATTGTTTGTACGGACTGTGAGGACCTACGTACATCAAATTGTCTTTAAAAGTGGCGGCATAAGAATTGTGGATTAACTGTTAAAATCAAAATTTCCATATTGACAAAGGTTAAATAAACGATCAATTTGCAGTTCTTTTAGTTAGGTTTATAATTTGAAATCTCCTCTCCTGGAGATGGATGAACCCAAAAAGTTGCTTTCCTCATATTGCGAACAAATTAAGATGTCAATATTGATGAGGCTTTTCAGCTAGTGTATATATATATATATATATATATATATATGTGTGTGTGTGTGTGTTGTGTGTGTGTGGAAAAGCTTGCTTTGTCCATAGTTCGAAACTTATAAAATTTATAACTTTTTTGTATTTGCAATGGAAATAATCTGTTTGAATAAAGTTCAATGCACCTAGTTTTAAAGCATAGCTAAAAAATAAAAAAGGTAAATTTCAGGCATTACTGTAAATCAGTTGAAAATGTTTTCGTCATTGCAAAAATCATATTACCCTTTTATTTTGCTAATGAATGGAGCAATGTAAAATTAAATAAAAGTTTTTTTTTTTTTAAATCCATCTAAGAAACGAACTGCCAGTGAAGACATTTTCTCTATATATATATATATATATATATATAGTTTTAAAAGCAAAAAGGAATGTATTGATTTTAATTTTATTGCTGTCTCTAAAGGCCCTTTCAACCAACATCTCATCAGAACCAATCGAGATAATTAATTAATAAAAAAAGAACGAAAATGAAAGCAAAAATTCGTTGACCTACTATGTCCATCAAATTTTCTTTAAATTTAACATGACAGTTACGTATTGTTTAACTGTTGAAATGTAGTTTAAATATTGTCATGGTAAATAAAGCGAAAATTTTGACTTCCTTAGTTTATTATTTATCCCATTACTCCACAGTACCTGTTGAATGAGGCCAGGTCTTTCCCTTTGTATTCCTAAAATTGTAACTCGGTTATATGGATGTTAGCTTACATATTTTATATTTTTCTTCTTCTTTTTAATTTTATACATTTTTATACTTCCCTCTCTTTAATAATGTTTTTTTCCCTTCTTTCTTCTTTTCATTTACAGTAATCTGAGGTTTCCAACTTGGTGGCATTGCAGCCACCTTGACCTTGGGGTGAAATGATCACAAAAATTAATAAAATAATTTTAAATTAAATAATTCTAAATAATTTAAAAATTAAATTTTCAAAGATTTTTTCTTTATTTTTTTCTTTTTTCTTTCTTTGATTTCTTTCATTTTTTCCTTTGAGTCCTCAAATATTTAACCAATTTCATTTTTTTCATTTGTCTTTTTTTTTACTTCGTCTTTCTTTTATTACGCTTTCTTTTGCCATTTTCTTTTTCCTTCCTTCTTTTTTCTTCTTTCTTGTTTTCATTTAGTTCTTCTTGCATTCATTGGAACTTAGTTAAGGAAAATAAATTTTCTAGTATTTATGGGCGGGGTTATCATCGGCTTTACGCATTTCTGGGACAAAGGCTGTTGTATTCTTCCTGCACACTATTTGTTCGAACTTTGTTTATCTTCATTGACGCTGTTCACGACGTTTCTCGGCCAGTTGTGCGCTCCGGCGCTTCTTCAGTGATATACGTTGGCATTTGAACCCGAAACTCTTATTTGGTCCACTAAATTGGGTGTTCCCATTCCACACGTGCCATGCCTTTTCAAATATCTCTATTTAATTATTTCGCTAGTAGCTCAACTCTCCAGGATTTTGTTCACCCCCTCCTGCAGTGGCCAGGCTTTTCAATTTCTTCTTTCTTTTCTCAAGAGTCACTGGTTACTTTTTTCCATTCTCTTTTTTTCATTTCTTGGCCTTAGTTTCTTTCTTCCATTTTCCTTTAATTCTTTTTTTTCTTTCTTTCTTTTCTCTTTTTCCTTTCGTCTTTTCTTTTTCTCATTTCTTCTTTATTTCTTTCTTTTTCTTCATTTTTCTAGCTCTTTTCCTTCTTCTTTCTTTTGAATTTTTTAGCTAAAAAGTTATCTTTTAAATTCTCTTTTCATTATCTTCCTTCTTTTTCTTTCTTTCTTTTTCTTTCTTCCATTTATTTAAGTAACTTCCATTTCTTCTTTAACTTTTGTCCTTTCCTTTGAATATTTTTTAACATTCTATTTTGTTTCTTCACCCTTTCTGTCGTTTGTCTGCATTTTCTTTAATTCTTTTTCATTTTCTTTCTTTTCTCCCATTTTTCCTTTCATTTTTTCATTCAGGGGCAATCTGTTTCGAAGCATCTTACAAAACAGAGGTTGAATTTTCAAACTCGGTCTTTTTCATTTCATCTTTCTTTATTCCCATTTATGGAAAACTTTCTCATTCTAAGCCAGAACCTTTAATTACTTTTCATTCCATTAAATCATCTTTTTCTTTCTTTTCTCATTTTCCTGGAATTCTTTTCAATAATCTTCTTTCTTAGTCTCCCATTTTCCCTTTCGATTTTTTTATTTTGATTCTTTTCTCCATTTTCCTTTAATTCTTTTTCATTCTCTTTTTCATTTCTTCATTCTTTCTTTCTTTCTTTCTTTCTTTCTTACTTCCAGGCCAAAAAAAAAAATTCTTTTCATTTCTTCTTTCTTTTCTCCATTTTCCTTTAATTCTTTTTCATTCTCTTTTTCATTTCTTCTTTCTTTCTTTCTTAAATAATATTTTTTCCTCCAAATTTCATTTTATATTTCTTCTTTCTTTTTCCTTATTTCTAATTTCATTCTTTGAAATTCTCATTTAAAATTTTCTTTTCTCCATTTTCCTTTAATTCTTTTTCATTCTCTTTTTCATTTCTTCTTTCTTTTCTTTTTTTTAACTTCCATTTTTCTTGGATTCTTTTCATTTCTTCTTTTTTTTCGATTTTCCTTTTAATTCTTTTCATTCTCTTTTTCATTTCTTCTTTCTGCTTTCTTTCTTTATATATATATATATATTTTCATAAATTCTTTCTTTAAAAATATTTTTAAAAATTCTTTTTTCATTCTCTTTTCATTTCTTTTTCTTTCTTTTCTTTCTTCTTTTTCCATTCTTTCTTTTTTTCTTCTTTCTTTTCTCATTTTTCTTTCATTCTTTTTTTCTTTTCATTCTCTTCTTTTCTTTCTCTTTCTTCCATTTTCTTTCATTCTCATTTTTCTTTCTTTCTCTTTTTCTTTTCATTCTCTTTTTTCATTTCTTCTTTCTTTCTTTTTTCTTTCATTTTCCTTTAATTCTTTTTTCTCTTTTTCATTTCTTTAACAACTAGCTTTTCTTTCTTTCTTTCTCTTTTTTCCTTCAATTCTTTTCATTTTCTTTTTTCTTTCTTTCTTTCTCTCTTTCTTCGAATTCTTTTTTTTTCTTTCTTCTTTTCTCCATTCTCTTTTTCTTTTCTTTCTTTTTCATTTTCTTCTTTCTTTTTTTTTCTTTATTTTTCTCTCTTTCTCTCTCTTTTTCTCCATTTCCTTTCATTCTTTCATTCTCTTTTTTCTCTTTCTTTCTTTTTTTCTTTTTTCTTTTTTCTGTCTTTTCTTTTTCTTTTCCATTTTTCATTTTTTTCATTTCTCTTTTCTTCTTTTTCCTTTTTCTTTCTTCCTTTAATTCTTTTTCATTTTCTTCTTTTCTTTTCTCCATTTTCTTTTTTTCTTTTTCTTTCTCTTTTTTTTTTCTTTTTTTCTTTCTTTCTTTCTTCTTTTTTTCTTTTTCTTTTTCATTTCTTCTTTCTTTTCTGTTTTCTTCTTTTCTTTTCTCTTTTTTTTCTTTTTCTTTTCTCTTTTTTTCCATTTTGTCATTTTTCATTCTCTTTTCACCATTTTTTTCATTCTTTCTCTTTTTTTCTGTCGTTTTTCTTTCTCTTTCTTTTTTTTATTCATTTTTTTTTCATTTCTTTCTTTTTTTTCTTTTCATTTCTTTTTTTCTTTCTTTTTCCATTTTCCTTTTTCTTTTCATTTCTTTTTTCTTTGTGCATTTTTTTCATTTTTCATTTTTTTTGTCGTTTTTTTGTTCTTTCTTTCTTCCATTTTTCCTTTAATTTTTTCATTTCTTCTTTTTTCTCCATTTCCTTTTTTCTTTTCTCTTTTTTCTGTCGTTTTTCCTTTCTTCTTTCTTTCTTTCTTCCATTTTTCCTTTCATTCTCTTTTTCTGTCATTTTTTTTCATTCTTTTTTTTTTCTTTTCATTTTTTCTTTCTTTCTTTTTTCTTTCTTCCATTTTTCATTCTCTTTTTTTCATTTCTTCTTTTTTCTCCATTTTTTTTGTCGTTTTTTCGTTCTCTTTTTTTTCTTTCTTTTTTCATTTTCCTTTTCTTCTTTTTTTTCTTCTTTCTTTTTCATGTCATTTTTCATTCTCTTTTTTTTCTGTCGTTTTTTTCTTTCTTTTTCTTTTTCATTTTTTTCATTTTCTTTTTTCTGTCGTTTTTTCATTCTCTTTTTCATTCGTTTTTTCTTTCTTTTTTTCTTTCTCTTCTTTTTCCTTTCGTTTTTTCATTTCTTCTTCTTTTCTCCATTTTTCATTCATTCTTTTTCTGTCTTTTTCTTTTCATTCTCTTTTTTCTTTCTTTCTTTTTTCATTTTTCCTTTAATGTCTTTTTTTTCTTTTCTCCATTTTTTTCATTTTTCATTCTTTTGTTTCTTCCTTTTCTGTCTTTTTTCATTCTTCTTTTTTTTAATACTTTTTCATTTCTTCATTCTCCATTTTTTTTTTTTCATTCTCTTTTCATTTTCTTTTTTCTTCATTTTCTTTCTTTCTCCTTTTTTTCTGTCATTTTTCATTCTTCTTTCTTTTCTCATTTTTCCTTTCTCTTTTTTTCATTTCTCTTTTCATTTCTTCTTTCTTTTTTTCTTTCTTTTTCATTTTCCTTTTTTCTTTGTCATTTTTCTTTCTTTTTCTGTCATTTTCCTTTCATTCTTTTTTTCTTTTCATTTTTTCATTCTTTCTTTTTTCTTTCTTTTTTCATTCTCCTTCTTTCTTTCGTTTTTCATTTCTCCATTTTCTTTCATTTTCATTCTCTTTTCATTTGTCGTTTTCTTTCTTTTTTTCATTTTCCTTTCTTTTCATTCTCCTTTTTCCATTTTCCTTTTTTTTCATTCTCTTTTTTTCTGTCTTTCTTTCTTCCTTTTTTCTGTCTTTTTCTTTAATTCTTTTTTTTCTTCTTTCTTTTCATTTTTCCTTTTTTTTTATTCTCTTTTTCATTCTCCTTTTTTCTTTCTTTTTTCCTTTAATTCTTTTCTTTCTTTTTTCATTCTTTTTCATTTTTCCTTTTTCTTTCTTTTTTTTTTCTTTCTTCCATTTTTCATATTTTTCATTTCTTCTTTCTTTCTCCATTTTCCTTTTCATTTCTTTTTGCATTTCTCTTTTTCATTTCTTCCTTTTTTCTGTCTTTTTTCCATTTTTCTTTTTCTGTCATTTTCTTCTTTTCCTTTTTCCTGTCATTTTTCATTTCTTTTCCTTTTTTTTTTTCTGTTTTCTTAACTTTTTCAGTTTTAATTCTTTTCATTTCAACTTTGACTTTTTTCCTTTTTTAATTCTCTTTTTTTCAACCTTCTTTCCATTTTCGACTTTTTTCTTTTCATTTCTTTCATTTCACCTTTTTTCCTTCTTTTTTTTTCCTTTTTTCGATGGTTTTTTTCATTCTTTCTTTTCTCTTTTTTTCCTTTTTCCCTTCTCTTAATGGCTTTTTCCTTCTTAATTTTTTTCAACCGAATTCTTTTCATTTCTCTTTTTGATCATTTTCCTTTCATTTTTTTCATTCTCTTTTTTGCAGTTTCATTTCTCTTTTTCCTTTTTCCATTTTTTCTTTTATGTTGATTTTTAAAGTTTTAGAAAATCTTTTTCTATTTTCAGCTTTAATTCTTTTTTAAATTTTCTTTTCATTTTTTCTTTTCTTTTCTATTTTTTCCTTTTTCTTTTTCAATTTTTTCTTTCTTTTTCCTTTTCTTTTTGTTTTCATTCTTTTCATTTTCAGCCTTTCTTTACTTTCTTTCTTTCTTCTCCTTTCACAATTCTTTTCGCCCATTTCTTCTTTCTTTTCTCCATTTTCCTTTCATTCTTTTCAGAATGGTGAATTGAGGTCTTTCCGAGACTGGTTGCCCTTTCTGCGATATTCTTCCATTTTTCAAAATGAAGAGATTAAACTTAAAAAATGCTTCTTTTCATAACTAGCATTTTCCTTTGGGCAAGCACTTTTTCTTTCTTTTATCATTTTCTTCTGACTGCCTTTTCTTTCTTGGATTTTTTTTTCAGTTTTGAATTTTTTCATTTCTTCTTATGTTTTAATTTTTTTCATATTCTTTAAAATTCTGATTTTATTCTTCTGAACAATCTTAAAAAGATTTCATTACATTTTTCTTTTTAATTCTTTTTAATTTCTTCCAGATTTTCTCCATTTTAGATTTCACTTGCTTGTAAAAGACCTACTAGTAACAGTGTCAACATTAATAAAAGAAGACTGTGCTTGAGGTGTGATATAATGCAAAATACAGTCTGCCAAATCACAATTTGCATATCAACTAATGCTTTTGGAATGGAATGAGTCTACATTTCCTGTGCGTTTATATAGCAAATTGAACATTTTTGTTGACGCAGAAAACTGTTAAACACAATAATGCGGCACATACACACACACAATCTTCGGAAGATATATATGCGTAGCGTAGCGGTTATCAGAGCTGAAAAATGTATTTACTTATTGTTTCAAAATCCAGCTGAGGCTCAAATGTCCTTGGAAATGGCGAATTCATTTCTTCTCCACTGCTAGGGGGGTCAATAGAAGTGTAGATTAGAATTATTTCTTCTCTGACTGCTAGGGTCAATAGAAGCGTAGATTGAAATCATTTTCATTTCTTCTCCGAATAGAACATTGCTTTATTTCTAGGTCAATAGAAGTAGATTAGAATTCATTTTTTCTCTCTGACTGCTAGGGGTCCAATAAGTAGATTAGAATTACTTTTTCTTCTCCACTGCTAGGGGCTCAATAGAAGTGTAGATTAGAATTCATTTCTTCTCTCCATTTTCTGAGAGGGGGTCAATAGAAGTGTGTAGATTAGAAATTCATTTTTTCTCTCCACCGTTAGGGGTCAATAAGTGCATATTAGAATTCATTTTTTTTTCTCTCCATGCTGGGGCTCCAATAGAAATTATATGAATTAGAATTCATTTTTTTCTCTCCTGCTAGGGGTCAATATGTAGATTAGATTAGAATTCATTCTTCACTCCACTGCTGGGGTCCAATAGAAGTGTATATTAGAATTATTTTTTCTCCACTGCTAGGGGTCAATAGAAGTGTAGATTAGAATTCATTTTTCTTCCACTGTTAGGGGTCAATAGAAGTAGATTAGAATTCATTTTCTCTCCACTTCTAGCTGGGGGGGTCAATAGAAGTGTAGATTAAAACCAATTTTTTCTCCATCGCTAATGGTCCCAATAGTAGTGTAGATTGAATTCATTTCTTCTGTCACAGCTGGGGGTCAGTCAATAGAAGTAGATTAGAATTCATTTCTTTCTCCACTTCTAGGTGGGGGGGTCAAAATAAGTGTAGATTAAAATTCATTTTCTCTCCACTGCTAATGGTCAATAGTAGTGTATATTAGAATTCATTTCTTTTCCACTGTTAATAAGGAATTAGAATTGTTCTCTACTGGGGGTGTAGATTAGAATTCATTTTTTCTCTGGGGGGGTCCACTGTAGATGGGGTCAATAGGGGATAGTGCAGATTGTGAATTCATTTCTTCTCCACTGGGTAGGGCTCCAATAGAAGTGTAGATTAATTCATTTCTTTCTCCACTGCTGGGAGTCCAATGAAGTGTAGATTAGAATTCATTTCTTCTCTCCACTGCTGGAGTCAATAGAAGTGTAGATTAGAATTCATTTCTTCTCTCCACTGCTGGGGGTCAATAAGTGTAGATTAGAATTCATTTCTTCTCTCCACTGCTGAGGGTCAATAGAAGTGTAGATTAGAATTCATTTCTTCTCTCCTGCTAGGGGTCAATAGAAGTGTAGATTAGAATTCATTTCTTCTCTCCTTCTAGGAGGGGGTCAATAGAAGTGTAGATTAGAATTCATTTCTTCTCTCCACTGCTAGGGGTCAATAGAAGTGTAGATTAAATTCATTTCTTCTCCCACTTCTAGGAGAATTCATTTTTTTGGTCCAATAGAGAAGTGTATATTAGAATTCATTTTTCTCTCCTGCTAGGGGTCAATAGAAGTGTAGATTAGAATTCATTTCTTCTCTCCATTTCAATGAAGGATATTAGAATTCATTTTTCTCCACTGGGTCAATAGAAGTGTAGATTAGAATTCATTTCTTCTCTCCACTTTTAGGGGGTCCAATAGAAGTGTAGATTAGAATTCATTTCTTCTCCACTGCTGGGGTCAATAGAAGTGTATATAAATTTGTTTTTTCTCTCCTGCTAGGGGTCAATAGAAGTGTAGATTAGAATTCATTCTCCTCTCCACTTCTGGAGGGGGGTTAATGAAGTGTAGATTAGAATCATTTCTTCTCTCCACTTCTAGAGGGTGTTCAATAGAAGTGTAGATTAGAATTCATTTTTCTCTCCACTTCTAGGAGGGTGTCAATAGAAGTGTAGATTAGAATTCATTTTTTCTCTCCACTGCTAGGGGTCAATAGAAGTGTAGATTAGAATTCATTTCTTCTCTCCTTCTAGGAGGGGGGTCAAAAGAAGTGTAGATTAGAATTCGTTTTCTCTCCACTGCTAGGGGTCAATAGAAGTGTAGATTAGAATTCATTTCTTCTCTTCACTGCTAGGGGTCAATAGAAGTGTAGATTAGAATTCATTTCTTCTCTCCCACTGGTGGGGTCAATAGAAGTGTAGATTCATTTCTTCTCTCCCTGCTTGGGTCAATAGAAGTGTAGATTAGAATTCATTTCTTCTCCACTGCTAGGGGGTCAATAGAAGTGTAGATTAGAATTCATTTCTTCTCTCCTCCATTTTTCTGCTCCACTGGGGTCAATAGAAGTGTAGATTAGAATTCATTTCTTCTCTCCTGCTGGGGTCAATAATGTAGATAGAATTTCTTCTCTCCCTGCTAGATTAGAAATGTCATTTCATTCTCTCTCTGCTGCTAGGGGTCAATAGAAGTGTAGATTAGATTTCATTTCTTCTCTCCACTTCTAAGGGGATCAATAGAAGTGTAGATTAGAATTCATTTCTTCTCTCCCTTTTAGGGGTCAATAGAAGTGTAGATTAGAATTATTTCTTCTCTCCACTGCTAGGGGGTCAATAGAAGTGTATATTAGAATTTTTTCTTCTCTCTCCACTGCTGGGGTCAATAGAAGTGCAGATTAGAATTATTTCTTCTCTCCACTTCTAGGAGGTCAATAATAGTAGATTAAAATCATTTCTTCTCTCCACTTCTAGGAGGGGAATCAATAGAAGTGTAGATTAGAATTCATTTCTTCTCTCCACTGCTAGGGGTTCAATAGAAGTGTAGATTAGAATTCATTTCTTCTCTCCACTTCTAGGGGTCAATAGAAGTGTAGATTAGAATTCATTTTCTTCTCTCCACTTCTAGGAGGTCAATAGAAGTGTAGATTAGAATTCATTTCTTCTCTCCACTTCTAGGAGGTGTTCAATAGAAGTGTAGATTAGAATTCATTTCTTCTCTCCACTTCTAGGAGGGGGTTCAATAGAAGTGTAGATTAGAATTCATTTCTTCTCTCCACTGCTAGGGGTCAATAGAAGTGTAGATTAGAATTCATTTCTTTCTCCATTTCTAGGGTGTTCAATAGAAGGTAGATTAGTCCACTGCAGGGGGGTAGAAGGTAGATTAGAATTCATTTCTTCTCACTGCTAGGGGGTCAATAGAAGTGTAGATTAGAATTCATTTCTTCTCCACTGCTGGGGTCAATAGAAGTGTAGATTAGAATTCATTTCTTCTCTCCACTGCTAGGGGTCAATAGAATAGATTAAAATTTTTTTCTCTCCACTGCTAGGGGTCAATAGAAGTGTAGATTAAAATTCATTTTTTCTCCACTGCTAGGGGTCCAATAGAAGTGTAGATTAGAATTCATTTTCTCTCCACTGCTTAGGTTCAATAGAAGATTAAATTCATTTCTCTCACTGTAGATTAAATTCAATTTTTTCTTTCTCCACTGCTAGGGGTCAATAGAAGTGTAGATTAGAATTCATTTCTTCTCTCCACTGCTAGGGGTCAATAGAAGTGTATATTAGAATTCATTTTTCTCTCCACTGCTAGGGGTCAATAGAAGTGTAGATTAAATTCATTTTTCTCCACTGCTTAGGGTCAATAGAAGTGTAGATTAGAATTCATTTCTTCTCTCCACTGCTAGGGGTCAAGGTGTAGATTAGAATTCATTTCTTCTCTCCACTGCTAGTCAATAGAAGTGTAGATTAGAATTCATTTCTTCTCTCCACTGCTAGGGGTCAATAGAAGTGTAGATTAGAATTCATTTTCTTCTCTCCACTGGTGGGGGGTCAATAGAAGTGTAGATTAGAATTCATTTCTTCTCTCCACTTCTAGGGGTCAATAGAAGTGTAGATTAGAATTCATTTCTTCTCTCTTTTAGGAGGGGTTCAATAGAAGTGTAGATTAGAATTCATTTCTTCTCTCCACTGCTAGGAGGTGGGTCAATAGAAGTGTAGATTAGAATTCATTTTCTTCTCTCCACTGCTAGGGGGGTTCAATAGAAGTGTAGATTAGAATTCAATTCAATAGAAAAGAAGTGTAGATTAGAATTCATTTCTTCTCCACTGCTAGGGGGTCAATAGGAAGTGTAGATTAGAATTCATTTCTTCTCTCCACTGCTAGGGGTCAATAGAAGTGTAGATTAGAATTCATTTCTTCTCTCCACTGCTAGGGGGTCAATAGAAGTGTAGATTAGAATTCATTTCTTCTCTCCACTGCTAGGGTCAATAGAAGTGTAGATTAGAATTCATTTCTTCTCTCCACTTCTAGGAGGGGTCAATAGAAGTGTAGATTAGAATTCATTTCTTCTCTCCACTGCTAGGGGGGTCAATAGAAGTGTAGATTAGAATTCATTTCTTCTCTCCACTGCTAGGGGTCAATAGAAGTGTAGATTAGAATTCATTTCTTCTCTCCACTGCTAGGGGTCAATAGAAGTGTAGATTAATTTTTTCTTCTCTCCCACTGCTAGGGGTCCAATAGAAGTGTAGATTAGAATTTTCTTCTCTCCACTGCTAGGGGTCAATAGAAGTGTAGATTAGAATTCATTTTCTTCTCTCCACTGCTAGGGGGTCAATAGAAGTGTAGATTAGAATTCATTTCTTCTCTCCACTTCTAGGAGGGGGTCAATAG